TTCCACCCACCAGATATAATTTGACTAATAGGAACAGTGTTGAATGCTATCTATTTAAATAACAGGGACCCAAATAGACAGTTACTTGATGAGTAGGAAGATAAAAAGTTAAAACGTTTCACGGCCGCTGTGTCTTCTAAAAGTGTTACTCTTTAACGATGTGTAGAGAAATGAATACAGATGGTGACAAATCCTGAAAACTGATAAATTAACCTGGTCAAGTACACCTGAACCTTTGGACTTGAAATGGAAATTTATGAATGAGTTGTACAAGTATTATATTAAAAGTGTTTACCTTTGGAAGCTTCGTATCAGTGCCAAGCCGGAACATGTCCTCTTTACTATTTTATTAGCACTTGTGGACTCCACTTAATGCCGACAACCTTACAGCCTGTCCAGTAGTGATTTCTGATCTGCCCTACTAACGCTGTTGTTTGTCAACAGTTAGGTACACAAAACTCTCTCTCCAGAGTAGAATCAGTAGATCTATAGATGGTGCCATCTTCAGACACATGAATCCAATATCTTCCACTTAAAACCTCTGGCGAGAAAAACATATTAATCCATATATTCGCACAGCTCTTCCAGTTTGTGGAGAGAACAATGGCTTGTCGAACCAGACAGAAACGTCTTCAGACAGCTGAACAGCATATAATCCATGTACACTTTAAAACCAGACTCTCCGTAAATTCATCTTCAGACACCCTCTTTAAATTTGAGGAGGGGACGGAAAATGTCATCAAGATTTATGGTCTAGTGTCATAGCCAGACAATGATAATATATAAACCATAAGCATTAAAACCTCATCAATAGCTAGAATGATTGTCCTGGGAGAAATGGTCATTTTTGGTCAGTGTCCAGCTAATTCACCTTTACCGATATACACAAAGGAAAATAATACCTTGCCATTGAAAATTTGAACAAACAAAAACTTTTTGTGAACGAACGAAAATATCAAATCGCCATTACGCACAAGCCATTAAAATATCAAAACCTTTTCAAGCTGAATGACAACCACAATATTTACATATCTTCTCTAATACAATGATATTTCTTTAGATTCCTTCAACCAACAATCCAAAAAAATGACAAAATAACAATCTATTTTCGTAAGAATTCAAAAGCATTTAAAGGCATAACGAATGTGTATAGGATGCCAGTATTCTAGTAGGTACAAAACCTTGGATGACACCACCCACAGCTCTCACGTAGAGCACACAGTTCTTATTTCATACTGAAAAGATCACCAGAAAGAATTGAGGATGCATCTATATCTCCATGGTAACAGTAAAGGTCAACTTTGATAGCCTGTGTTGAGAATCCCGATCAATTTGAGTGTTAAATGTGGCCATCTGTCGTCATTGCCAGTCCAAGATATTCCCCCGAACGTCCACCGAGGATAGTTAACATTCTGTACAATCTCAGTTGCTTAAAGCATAAAACCTTTTTGGGCCGATATTTTCCAAGAATTTCTCCAGGAAGGTCCATAGAGAAAAATAACCTACGCTTATAAACTCATTTCTTTCCACATGTAACATTACAGAACAAGGTGTTATGGTAGGATAAGTTTCATGAAAAATAACATCATATCAGACTTTTTTTTGCAAACATGATATATTTAGGAAAACATGAGTTTTCACAGCATACAAAAGTGCACTTATACAAGTAACTAGAGTGACGTTAAAACACCCACTGATACGCCAGTTGCATGTCCACCGAGACTCCAAAGACCACTCCACATGATTAAATATATACATATAACTGTGTATAAAATACTATCACAAGCTTTCTGAAGAATCCATTTTACAGTTGCATTCAGACTGTATATATATATAGAAGCTAAAATCAATTATTTTCATAAAAGTACTCTAAGGTCAATACATTGTACGGATTGAGTTTACAATCAGATTCACGTCAGCATGTACTCAAAATAGAATGACATTTTGTTTTCATGTGTATCGCTATTTGAAATGACCTAACAACAGTTGTGTGGCAATTATAATTCTATTTGAAAACAAGGTTCCAGAACTAAAAGATTCAATGCACCATTACATATTTCATCCACAAAAATGCTGAGATGGTTGAAACTGTCTGCTGTTCCTCAGCACCGATACACCCCTGCAAGCATGAGCCGCCAATCAATGCTTGAGTAATTTCTCTTTATTTGGTCTAAGGCAGAGCTAAGTTTTCCAATGACCCCGACGTGTCCTTTTAAAAATACATTTTTGTAATTACAATTTGCGCACTTTTGCAAAATATTTTAAATTGAGGACTTTGTGCTAAGGGCGTCAGTCTCTTTCAAAATATTTAATAAACTGTTTTAGAAATAACTGTACAATATCACTGCTCTAACACTAACAGCCTTGGAGGAAATGCTTATTTACCATTGTGCCAGTGAAAGGTGCCTTATGGCCAAACCAAACTATTTACACTTACTTGATGACTGTTTGTGTAACACCCTGCCCATAACAAATCTGTCTCGAGTCAAGCGGAGGTCAGTTTATAATCCGTAAAGAAAACGGCTTTGGGGGAGGGCTCCATACGGAACGTATTCGTAACTTGAAGGATTTTTATTTAGTGCTTGCATACAATACCGGACGGCTTTCAAACAAAACATTACAGAAATTGTGATGATTGCGGATTGCCGCTGTTCAAACAGGTCAATAGGGATTGTCAAATATTTATTGGTCCTTGTTAACATGTTTATTTATAACGTTCTAATGATTGACATATTACATTGCCATTATGCTAATCGAGGTCTTTTTTGATAGAATTCAAACAGTTTGTTTTTAAAATGCAACAACATGTCAAATTTCAATTTTATTTATACATCATTTTAACTTTTGTACGCAAATGCTTATGTTTTTTTACTCAATTAGAAAATATTTAATTCTATATTTATATACATGTACTTTTTAATTTGGAATAAAATGGGTTTTTTTATGTTGGTGTTAAAAAAATTGTTTCAAGCAAGATAATGTGTGAAATTATGGGTATTGACTTATCACCACTGAGAAAACAATATCTATACCTGTTTATTTTTGATGCCAAAACATGAATTGATACATGACAGGGTACTCCCTTTTAAATGTACCTGTATGTGTAACCATTAATACTCACCTGACTGTGAAAAACAAAAATGTATATACCTGTTAATTTTTAATGCCAAAACATGAATTGATGCATGACAGCTAGGGTACACATTTCTAAATTGGCCTGCATGCATATGTATAACCGTTAATAGCTTTATGAAATTATCTGGTTTGCCAAAGCGCTTAGATTATAACTCCTAAGGTCGTGTTTAGGTCACTTGGTCATTTTTACTGATCATGTGTTTCTCAATATAATTCTGTATCTAGACAGACAAGAAAACACTCCTCACAGAGTATGTAGATTCCTTACAGACCCTTTATAGAGTATGTACGGAGGAGCATCCCATTGACTGTGGAAGTGATCCTGAGGTCCCACCCCCTCCTTACTGTAAACATTAAGCCATGTGCTAATACCACTGCCTGGCATACCCCAACACACTGCCCGGTCTGTACTGAACACTGCCCGGTCTGTACTGAACACCAGACTCAAAACTAGAAAATATCACAGCATGTCTGAAGTTCTCCAGTTATATTATAGAAAAATATTTGTACAAGGTGACTTAATTATTTCACCCCTGAAATATCATAATGAACTAATCCAACCTTTGAATTGGAGGAGTTCAAATGTGTCTTCTGGCGGGCGGCTGAGGGGTGAATGACAAATAAAATCATGTTTGAACTTAAAACTTTAAATCTTTATTTGGGAATGTCCTCATTAGAAGAAGAATAGAACCAAGCATAAGCTAAGAAAGATGAACATTTTGCCAGTACCTTTTAAAGCTACTGTCCGTAGCTGAAGCATCACCTATTTTTTCTACAGTCCATTTTTCTTCGACTAAGTGCAACATGTAATTCATCTCTGAAAAACGAGGAATTGTTTCCGATACATTAAGGGTAATTGTAATTAAATAAACAATATAATTCTTGCCTTGAAAATGAAGCAGGTGAAACTTTATATTTGTACTGTAGTTATCACTCATGTGTTGAAGCATCAAAAGTAGTATTTTTGAAGGTTAATCAACGTGCATATACAGGTTATGTATTACAGGAAGTGAAAGATCTTATAATTGTTCTCTTAATTTAATTTCGGAACATCCTACACAGCAGCAGTGTCAAATATCTGACAAATGACCAACATTTTTTATTCGTGGTATCTGAAAATTGGGTACCAGTCAGACCTTCTTCAGTCAAAGATTGTCATGAATGACAACACTTTGTGATGACCAGCATATAAATTAGAGATATCATTTGTGTTTATACAAAGTGAGGCATAACTCTCAATACATTTTTGTTATCTCAAAGCACAATATAGGTACAAATGGTATTGCTCTAAGAAACGAATCACAAGTCAATAAAAGCATTTGACGGTTTCTAGTAGCTAGACCATCTGTTAAAGCATGCTGCTATCCCACAGCCATTAAGTGGTTGTATCTGTGAGAAGTGACACATATCTTGGCACCATCTCCACCTCGGTGATAACAAACCACAATCTCCCACTCACACTGTGATTGTCTGGTAAGTATCGCCAGTGGGGGAATCAGTCAGGGTACTGATAAACATGAGGGCATCACAGGGTACCATGGAGCTGAAAGCTAAGAGGCAGGGCAACAGCTATTACAGGGTACCTTGGAGCTGAAGGCTAAGAGGCAGGGCAACAGATATTATAGGGTACCTTGGAGCTGAAGGCTAAGAAGCAGGGCAACAGATATTATAGGGTACCATGGAGCTGAAAGCTAAGAGGCAGGGCAACAGCTATTACAGGGTACCTTGGAGCTGAAGGCTAAGAAGCGGGGCAACAGATATTACAGGGTACCTTGGAGCTGAAGGCTAAGAAGCAGGGCAACAGATATTATAGGGTACCATGGAGCTGAAAGCTAAGAAGCAGGGCAACAGATATTACAGGGTACCTTGGAGCTGAAGACAAGGAGGAAGGGTAATTGCTTTGCATGGAGGCTCATGTAGAGGAGGGGCAACATCCATAGTAATTACAGGGGGCCATAATCAGAGCTGGGGGTATGGGCTATAAACATTACAGAAAATCACAGAGGTCAAGGTCAAAAGCTTTATTACAGGACATCCTAAAATCAGGTGTCAGAATTGAAACCCCCAGCTATCTCAAAGTTTATGCAATGTATCACAGGGCTCAGACAGGATGGAAGCCAAGAATGATTGCAAGGTATCATATAATAGCCTAGGAAAGAAAGGAAGCCCTCAGGAAGGAAGCTCACAGTCATTACAGTGTATCACAGGGCTCAAGACAGGAAGGAAGCCCACAGTCATTACAGTGTATCACAGGGCTCAAGACAGGAAGGAAGCCCACAGTCATTACAGTGTATCACAGGGCTCAAGACAGGAAGGAAGCCCACAGTCATTACAGTGTATCACAGGGCTCAAGACAGGAAGGAAGCCCACAGTCATTACAGTGTATCACAGGGCTCAAGACAGGAAGGAAGCCCACAGTCATTACAGTGTATCACAGGGCTCAAGACAGGAAGGAAGCCCACAGTCATTACAGTGTATCACAGGGCTCAAGACAGGAAGGAAGCCCACAGTCATTACAGTGTATCACAGGGCTCAAGACAGGAAGGAAGCCCACAGTCATTACAGTGTATCACAGGGCTCAAGACAGGAAGGAAGCCCACAGTCATTACAGTGTATCACAGGACTCAAGACAGGAAGGAAGCCCACAGTCATTACAGTGTATCACAGGACTCAAGACAGGAAGGAAGCCCACAGTCATTACAGTGTATCACAGGACTCAAGACAGGAAGGAAGCCCACAGTCATTACAGTGTATCACAGGACTCAAGACAGGAAGGAAGCCCACAGTCATTACAGTGTATCACAGGACTCAAGACAGGAAGGAAGCCCACAGTCATTACAGTGTATCACAGGACTCAAGACAGGAAGGAAGCCCACAGTCATTGCAATGTATCAAAGGGCTCAGAATGGAGGCAAGCTCAGTTATTGCAAGGTATTGTAGGACTAGGAAAGGAAGGAAGCTTTCAGTTATTGCAATGAATTATAGCGCTCGGAAAGGAGGGAAGCCCCACAATGTATCATATGTAGGGGCTTAGTGAGGAAGGAAGTCCACTGACATTAAAAGGTGTCATACATTACATAGTAGCAGAGGGATCAGTGAGGAGGGAAACCCACAGTCGACACAAGTTATCACAGGGCTCAGGGAGGGGTCTTATCAATACATCAAGCCATTTATAAAGATGTGTAGAAAAACTAAGGCACCCTCCCCCGCCTGATGACCTAGTAGCTGGCTTTACAGTTCCCCGCCAAAAACCACCTGTCAGGGAGGGACCAGACATGTGTCCCTGTCCATAACACTAACAAGAAACTCCAGGATGTGAGAAGGCAACACAGAAATGATAACACATCTCAGCAGGCTTGACTACTCGTTACTGTAACAAGAACAGAGAAGTGTCTACCAGGATTCTGAATCAGGATGTTCTTTTTACCAAACTAACTCATTCACCCCTGAAATTTCATGATGAACAATTCCAAACTTCAAATTGGAAGAGTTCACATGTGTCTTCAGGGGTGAATGAGTTAAATATCTGCAGTGGAACAAACCTCTAAAAGTGTAGCAATCATTAGAAATAAAACTTAAGACTCATCCAATATCATTATGGACGACACAAACTGATGATGAAGGTCTGGCCTGGACTCAGGGTAAGAGATATTACAAAGCTCATTAAAAACTGTGTCTTTATGAAAGGTTTCATTAATTTAACATCAAAGGGCCTCTCCTACAGTTTCCATGTCCACTATACACATCAATGCCCACTAGAACCATTGTATGGGTCCTAGACTGTACTTTACTATAATGATGGTGGTAGTAGTAATCAGATGTTTGATGATAATGGTGCTCCATCAACTAAACCTTACAAACACTAACTGTTATTAATGATAACTGACCTCCACTGATAACCCTTATAAATACCCACAGTTAATTAATCAAGTCTGAAGTCGATCCCTTCTAATGACCCTGTCTCAGATTATTGAAATATTCTCGGGTAAGTCATTGGTCTGAATTACTCCTTGCTGCAGTAGGTGATTTGACCATCAAGTACAATACAGGAGATGCAGCTGGTGATAATATTGACCTCTTGGTTAATGTTTCTTATTTTGAATTTAACAGATTTGATTAATTCCAGTGAATTATGAAAATCCTAAGATATCAACAGTGAATGGTAAATTCACAAGTTCCAGAAATTATCTTAACACTTGACTTTGATAAGTATCTCTAGTACAATTGCAGTAAATCATTTTTCTTTAAACATACACAAATTTTATTTTTTTCCCCACAAATTCGATATAAGAAATTGAAATCATTTAACTTAATTAGACTGATGATTTGAAGACGGAAAAATAAAACCTAAATCCCAAAATATTGACAAGGCACAGCAATATCAGTGCAACTATATCAGATCTATGTTTATTGATAACTGCATGTAGCAGCTACTGTTGTTTGTTGTTGGTTTGTTAAGAGTGGTTTTACGTCCCCTTCACTTTAAGTATGAGTAGTTTGATTATCCCGCAGACAAGCAGCAGTCATGCCCTGTAACAAGCTTAACCCTTTCACCCCTATGTAACTTTAGTAGACTCTACCATGCATCAATCTGTCCATTTTGGTCTACAGTGGTGAAAGGGTTAAGTCTTACTGAGGCAACACAAACGCTTCATTACTTCAGATCAACACAATTTACCTACTTAATTCAGTAATCAAACGGTTAAACCTTGATATGTATATATATTACCACTATTTTCACAACCTTAACTCATTCACCCCTGAAATTTCACAATGACCTATTCCAACCTTTAAATTGGAAGAATTCAAATGCGTCTCCAGGGGTAAATGAGTTAATTCAAGGTCACTTTTTTGTTTTATCACAACAATAGATCAATTTCCCTCTATATAATACCAAATCCTATTATAACATTATAGCCCCAATTATGGGCTGGACAAATGGTGGTAGTATAACAAGGTGTTTTTTTACTGTACATCCTTTATCTTGTGAACAGTTGTTTTATGTATGGCCTGTCCGTAGAAATCAATCATAATTAATCAACCCTTTTATCCTGGGTACCTAACCATCCCTCTTTTTATCATTGACTCAATATATATGATAATTTCATTAGCCCTTCCTGTATTATCACATCAAATCAAACAGGATACAGTAAGTCTATAACTTGTCATAACCACTAGTACTACTCCTTTTAAGACACATCTACAAGTATATTATTGTGTCTATATGTTAATTTTAACTGCTCATCTTGAATTTATAGCTATTTTATCTCCTGTTCACCAATTAAATCTATCAACTATACTGACCAATACACTTGTATGGTATCTACTTCTTTAGGTTGGTATCCTAATATAAACCGTCTCCAGCGAAGTATAGAGAGAATTTTTGTTTTCTTATATCTAATATATAAACATTTTTCATTTCATTTCCGAATATTTTATTGCATAGATCTTACATACAAAAGGAATTGGGCAACAGGCAAAGCCTATAAAAGCCCAGTCTCCTTAAACATTCTTCGAAGGTCATTACTTTATTTCTAACATCTATGATATTATACAAATGTCCTTTTGTCTTTGCAATAGAGCTAGTGGGTTATGTCAAAGCTTGCTGTTAGATTTCTAGAATTGTAGAATCAGATGATGAAGTTTTATCTGGCATGGTCATGTTAAGAAATTTATAAGCATATTATAGCACTGGACAATCAGGTGTAGAAAACTACATGATGAGTATTTATTAAGGCAAAACGTTCACCATGAAACCTGTGTATACTGACATGAGAGCGACTGAATTATTTGGTTAGATTAGACAGTGTGTCAATAAAATTAGGAGCTAAAGACATAGAAACCAGTCCATTAGGGGACACAAAATCATGTCAGGTATTATGTTTACAGCAAAACCTGCTACAGAAACCACCTGACCTCTTATAAGGGACCACCTGTGTAAAGAGACCATTTCTAAAGTTTTCATCATAGCTCCTTTCATGTTAACTGAACCTACATTAAGAGACAACCTACACCAGTAATACAACCACTTTATGTTTGGTTTTATATTGTCTAACGCCCTATCAACACCAAAGTTCCTTAACTCGTTCACCCCGGATGACACATTTGAACTCTTCCAATTCTGAGATTGGTATAGTTCATTATGAAATTTCAGGGGTGAATGAGTTAAAGGACCACTTAATGTAATGTAGTCTCTGAATACAAGTTTGACTGTAGTATGTTAAACTCATTTACCTCTGAAACTTCATAATGAACTAGCTATTCTAACATTTGAATTGGAAGAGTTCAAATGCGTCTTCAGGGGTGAATGAGTTACGTTTTTTGAAAATAATGTTTATGTTCTGGTCAAAATATAGCTACAGACCTTTTGAAGGTTGACACCAAAATTAACTCATTCATCCCTGAAATTTCATAATGAGCTATTCCAACCTTTGAAATGGAAGAGTTCAAATGTGCCTTCAGGGGGGAATGAGCTACGAGAGGGGTTTGGTAACAGGAAGCACACATTTCCTTTATTTGGCCTCGTAGACCTTTCAATTATCCTTGCTTCCATCCATCTTCATTTCTTACACTTCGTTTATTGTATCGATGCGTCTCATCCCAGAATCCATAGATAAATCCAAAACTAATTGATCATCATCAGCCAGAGGTTTTATCGTGTTAATCTGTAAATATATTATCAGTACCCTTATATTGATTGATCTATCTTCACAGCTGTGTTTTGTCCATCACAGCGGAGTTCTTTAAACCTGATAAGTTATAAGACAATTTGATAGGAATTTTTAAAATTGATCCTGAAAATTCTAGGTGTTGTGCATTCGAATGAGAACATATTAACCCTTAAATTTCAAAGATGTTAAAAAAATAGAGTTTCAGCTTTTTAAGAGCAGTTGTCACTTTAATCATTTTTACCATAAAACTTATATCTTTGCACTGCT